TTTATGAGTGACAAGATTGAGTTTGTGTTTGTGTATTTCGGGAGTCTCTGGACTTGAGAGTTGGACGGAATATATCCTCTCTGTTGTACGTGACACTGGCCGAGGATTCCTTTATCAAACCTTACTATGCTTACACCATTGTGGGCCGTGCGGTGAACGCTAAGGTGACGGTGTTCAATTGTGGCCTGTGTTGCCCTCGCTGGATCAAGTGAATTCCAGTAGGTCGGACGCGTATCGCAATGCTGTATAGCTCCACGTCATGTGCTTCGCGCAGCCACCCATCTGAACTCCCACTGTAGAATGTGCTACGTGTGTCACGAATTCCTTCTTTTCTTCGACCCCGTGGACGCGGTTTCGAAGTAATTACGAAGTATTAATGTAGAAGTATTAAGACTGTGAAAGTTGCGCGTATTTCTCCGCATCTGTGCACAGAAAGGGAGCAACTTGTTTTCGCCAGATGTGGCTTGAATTTCAGGGAAGGGACGAATAATGTTTCCGGTTCTTAAATTTTGCAGGTGTTCCCCGTGTCAATTTAAGTTTCCTTCAAAATGAAATCAACTCTGTTATTCGCCTGTGCCGTATGCGCGCTGTTAACCGCCGTGAAGAGTGGAGAACAAGACGTCGTTGTGCTGGATGATTCAAACTTCGACTTTCGAACGAAGGAAATGGATACAGTTCTGATCATGTTTTACGCGCCATGGTGAGTGTTTTACAACGATGATCACAGAGTGGGGGAAAAATTATCACACGCAAGTGTTTGTTCAGGTGCGGTCATTGCAAGCGAATTAAACCAGAGTATGAGAAAGCCGCCGAAATTCTGAAAGCTGATGATCCTGCGATTCCCTTGGCTAAGGTTGATTGTACTGAAGCTGGGAAGGGGACATGCTCACGTTTCGGAGTAAGTGGTTACCCAACTCTCAAGATCTTCCGCAATGGGGAATTTTCGCAAGAATACAACGGACCTAGGGAGCACAGTAAGTTCTATTTTGTTTTAATCCGGAGTCCTCATGTAACACTTCGCTTCTTGCAGTGGGAATCGTGAAGTACATGCGTGGACAAGTCGGCCCCGCTGCGAAACCTATTGAATCCATCGAAGCTCTAACCAAATACTTGGATAATGACGATGGCTCCGTTATCGGTTATTTTGATTCTGATTCGTCCCTCAAGTCATCGTTTGAGAAGACGGCAGATAAGCTTCGAGAGACGTTTAGATTTGCCTTGGTTACCAAAGAGGATGTCATAAAGGCGAAAGGTGTTGCCAGGTATGGCACTATCTGATCATTGGCATGTAAATTGATGGAAATTTCACGCGTTTGCTTTGGTTAGTAGACGATCAGTTCAGGGTAGGAAGTTCATTATCCGATACCCTTTCAGCCGTTCGATGCAATACTTCGCGTAGAATTATTTATCGGTTCTAAACAACCCCAATGATGCTCGGGTTTCTAAATGGAATGTACAATCCTCCCCCGATTACGTTGACGTTTCCTTCATAAACTTGTTGATGAATTACTGACTGGATATAGACGTTCGAATAAATAATTGTTAAAAAAAATACTCATGAAAGAAATGAGAGTAATTTTCAGCTTTCTTAAGATTTTAGAAGGCTTTGATCCATTTCCAAATTTCCCACCGGTACTGCAATGTGTGGAAGGAGGAGATAATTTTGTGTTGGTGTATTGTCCAAAGCCTGCAATAAGCGAAACTCAAGTGCATTAAAATAGTTCAATTCGTCAAAAAATCAATACAGTACAGTATTAGAATTGCATCTGTACAATAATTTTGATTTTATCTTCAGTGGATCCATTGTTCTTCATCGACCTACGCGACTCGTGAACAAGTTCGAGCCAGCCGACGTTGTTTATTCAGGAGAAGCCGATAAATCAAAGATTGAGTCGTGGATCAATGAAGAATATCACGGATTGGTGGGCCACCGTACCCAGGATAACTCAAAGCAGTTCCCAAAGCCTTTGATTGTTGCGTACTACAGCGTTGACTACGTGAAGAACCCGAAGGGTACCAATTATTGGCGTAATCGGGTTTTGTCCGTTGCCAAAGACTTCGAGTCTCTAAACTTTGGTGTGGCTGCAACTGATGACTTCCAGCATGAATTGAATGAATTTGGAATTGAGTTTGCAAAGGGAGACAAGCCAATCATTGCGGGTTGGAATGAGAAGTCCCAGAAATTTGTCATGAGTGGCGAATTCAGGTGAGTAATTTTTGTGTGCTAAGTTAATTTGAATCTTTTTCAAAATATCATGGTTATCTGAATGCAGTGAGATCAATAGTTTCTGAAATAGGTTCAAATAATTCAGTTTGCGGGATTTTTTCCGCAATTCCAGTGCGAATGGCGTATGAGTTTTGACTAATGAAATGTAATGAGGGAAAATTAATTTATTTGTGCATTACTGTAATTACCTTATGTAACGAATACGTTCAACTAAAATCCTCTGTGCAATGATAATAACGAGGTCGATGATAATGGTAAAATCCTGGCTTTTCTTTAAATACTGTAGTTGGACATGATTAAGTTGGAAATTCCTGTGATTCTTCGAATGTCATGAGAGTGATTCTTGTGCGCTATTAGCAAAATACTGTTTTTGTCTGGTAAATGTCCAACAAAAGGGTAACATTAACATACCTTTTTGGGTACTTTCCTGTTATCTCAGTACCTACTTTCCGTGCACCTACCAGAAACTGTGAATTTCATTTTTCTGCGTTCTGCTGAAACTGATTTTGGGAGGCGGTTAGGTAAAGTTAGGTTATGTCAGGTTATGTTAGTCACAAATATCTTTCAATTAACATAACCTGACCTAACCTAACTTTACCTAACCACCTCAGAAACTGATTACCCAGAAACTGATTTTGGGAGGTACTGAGATAGCAGGAAAGTACCAATTTTTGACCATTGGAATCCAAAAATGTTTGAAAAACTGAATTTTCCAATTCCATGAAATGGAAAATCAAATTCAGAAATACCTGTATTTGTTCATTGTGCTCTTGAACTGCCATCCTTTGGCTATGCATTCCCACAATTGTGCATGGAAGAACAGGTGAGATACTGTATATGTACAGTATTGCAGATGATGATGAATGCGAACACTTCACTTCCAGCTTTTAAAACGGAAGCATTTGTTGGGTATTTTAGTGAATACAACGTCTCAAGCTAAATTCAAATTGAATCTTTGTTTCCAGCGTTGAGAAACTGAGAGAGTGGACCCATAAGCTCGTGGATGGTGTTCTGGATCCGTACATGAAATCCGAACCCATTCCCGAGGGCAACTCCAAGGCCGTGAAAGTTGCCGTGGGAAAGAACTTCCAAGAAGTTGTGATTGACAATGGAGTGGATACCCTGATTGAGTTCTACGCTCCTTGGTGCGGTCATTGCAAGAAACTCACTCCAATCTATGAAGAACTTGCTGAAAAGGTCTGTTCCTCTTGCAAATACTTTACAGTCATACGGTATCAAGTCAAATTCAGGTCTTTAAATTTACAACTCACGGGAGTTCGAAATATAGGGAGTATTGCCTAATTATTAGGACATAAACTGAGTTGAAGACACAATATTTGAAATGTGCTGGTCTTGATGAAATTGGCTGAAAATTTGAAATGGGAGTAAGTGCAATTTTAATATGGTGAAATAGACCCTATCCTCTCAACTGACACGAATTGGAGGATTATTCTATCTTGTATTTTTTTCATTTCAGATGAAGGATGAAAAGGTGGCAATTGTGAAGATGGATGCAACTGCCAATGATGTTCCTCCTCCTTTTGATGTCCGCGGGTTCCCAACTATCTATTGGGCTCCCAAGAATGCCAAGGACAAGCCTGTCAAGTACCAAGGAGGACGAGAACTCAGTGACTTCATCGAATACATTGCGCAGCACTCCACTGATGGACTGTCCAAATCTAAGGACGAGCTTTAGGCTATCATGAGTGAGGCTGTACCTGTAAAGTGCGGAGACTTTTATTTTCGCATTGGTTTTGCCGAGTTCAGTTCGGTTTTTTAAGCGCATGAATTCCTTGCCTCGCCCTGTTGGCATTAATGTGAAGTGTCCCGTTTCTTCTGGATTCTTTAACTATTGAAGGACCCAAGTGCGTTCCATATGCATGAATGATCGGTGTGAGGTTTGAACAGCGCTCAGTGAGAAGACTTCACATTAAGGATACTCATGAATTTTGTGAACCTGATCAATTCCAGGAATACATTTTGCTTTTCCCATACTGTTGCCATATGATAATGTCATGGAATTTTCGTGAATATTAATGGTTTATCCTGATGCCTTCCGTAACTTCGTGCTAAGTTGACATCTATTACGAGGTGAGAGCTGTTCAAGTCACCCACCCGGAGTTGCATTGATAACTTCTTGACAAGGAGGACTATCCTTGGATAGATGGAGAGAGACGCAAGTTTCCCTTTGAAGTGATCCTGTGGGTTTGTTGGGCGATTATGAAGCGTGTTGGGGATCTAATTGTCCAAGCACAACTGTGATTGGGTCTTTTTCTGTGAAATGTTTGTTCTTCACATTGTTGTGAATTTTGCGTTTCCCTGTCTGATTGAAGAAGGAAAAGCCCTCATCTCAATTTCTTAGCTTTCAGGGGTTGTTTTTCTGATTTTGTCTTCAGCGGAATTGTATCATTTTGTGCTGGAATGATTCAATTCGGGTATCTCATTCAAGATTCAGATTATCTTTGTTGGGAGATTAAAAGCATACGTTGAGTTTTCAGGAATTGATCGGAATTTTTATTTAGTGCGCGCGTGTTTGTTTGATGCGTGCAGAATACTCTAGTTTTGAATGCGTTCAATGTAATGTCAGTTCAAACTCCTCTGTCGGAAAAATTAGTAAATCATAGCGTTGATCAATCTTTCACCTCCTTGCCCACGTCATTCATTTGACACACTTCATAGATCATATTCTCCCGCCGTTTAATTTTGTTTGAATTACTGAAAGAAATTGTGTGATTTAATTTGTACATGGCATCAGTGAGTTTCCTCTATTACAGGTGGTACCTTGCAATTCAACCATCCTGCAGTTTGATGGTCAAATTTTCCTGTCAAGGTTGACTCACAAATCAACCTTTCTCCTGAAATTTTAGCCTCATTTCCAGTGTTATTTTGCTGTTAGCCTTTGATTTTACAGTGTCTCGCAAATTGACTAGTAGAGCAACAAATTTGGGTTGAATTTTGGGGCACCACCTGTATCAGCAGTTCTTGGGCAAGTAATTTTGTCCAATATAACTTTAAATTTGCTCAAAAATGATAAATAAACCTGGAAGCACCAAATTGTAATCTGATGCAAATTTGATGATATGCTCTTCATGAACCACACCTATACACATAATTTCTTTGGTGCATGCCCTAATATTTGTGTCTCCATTATAGAAAGACTCATTAGCAATGAAATTAAGATTGTTTTGATGCAATTAATCAGGTAAATTATTTTCTGATCATCAGCAAAACTGTGGTAGAAGAAGTGGAATCTTGCTACTGACAAAGTCACTGAGACCATGGAAGCACATTCACTATGATGCTGTAGAATATTTAATGGTGCAAGAAATACTGCTATAAAATTATTGCTTGTAATTTTTTCTGATCAGCCCAACATCAATCAGTTTTTGAAGACAGTGTTAAAAATTATTGCTAAAGCTTTTTAAATTCCCAATGCATCTCTTGAAAAGATTCAGCTGTACAGTAATTCTTGTACCAACAAATAACCACTCTCACAACTTCAAGGCCTTGAAAAAATTACTGTAATTGATTCTGAACAAGAATTTCTTATGACAAGCTTCATATACCGGTATGTATGTTCGTAACAATTTTCTACTGTTTACCATGGAACCACATGAAAGCTCAAGTACTAGTCTTTTAGCACCGTCTGAACTGCCAAAACGAATGCAAAATTGAAAATCCTGCTGATTGATTTCAGGGCTGATATGACAGTCAAGTGGATTGCCAACAATACAAACAGGAACTCCTCCCCACAACCCAGCAGTACTGTACAACAGAACAGGCACAGTACTGTACTTAATTCTAGCTATTCCAGTAAATAACTCCGGTGTGGGCAGCACAGCGTACTCCCCCAAAATCGTACTCCAGGAATACACCCTGCCTAGGCAGGATGCACTCCAGGAGTACACCCTACCTAGGCAGGGTGTACTCCAGTGTGCACTATGCCGTCCGGCGGGTCTATTCAAATCCGCGGAGTGAAGTTCCATGGTGAACACATGCAGGATGCACTCCAGGAGTACACCCTACCTAGGCAGGGTGTACTCCAGTGTGCACTATGCCGTCCGGCGGGTGTATTCAAATCCGCGGAGTGAAGTTCCATGGTGAACACATGCAGTAGTTCTTTCAACAAAATTCAGAGGAGAGCCAATTCCATGGTGATTATGGATTCTTTAGATAGGAACTTACTCGTATTTCGCATTTCAAAAATCCCGTGTAACAACACACATCCAGGAGCGGATTAATTTTGTCATGTGGTTGAAGATAAAAGAACAAAAAACTCTGTTTAAATGAAATGATTTCATCTACCCCTTGAATTAAAGAGTAGGTTTTCTGTGACGGAGTGATTCTGTAGAATTTGACAACAGTTTGCATTGCTGTTGGGGAAAATGTGCAGTATAGAATCTCCTTGCAACGAATCTTGCTGATGCTTCGGAGAAATGTCTTTTTCAGTCCCTGCCCCAACTGCCACATTCTTATTTAAATTTCTTTTTAACAAATTTTCATATATGATGAAGCTTTTTCAAGGCCTGAAATGCTTTCTTGTCCAAAGTTCTACTGTACTTTTGCATTAATTATTAACTAACATAACCTGACCTAACTGCCCCCCACCCAAGTCAGTTTCAGCAGAATACCAATAAATAACAGTGCCTGTCAATTCACATTTCCATTCAAATACAATCAGTAATGAACTTGGATCAAGGATGAAAGAGACCAATCGTAAGGCTGTGGATAGCATACCCAGATATTGGAACAACAGGGTTGTTGAACAATTGGGGTAAAGAGGATTCATTTTTGAGAACCACACATGGATGCCACTAATAACATTCTGTGTGTTGTTCTTAGCGACATCTATGAGGGTATTGGTTTGCATGTGGCTCCCCCCAAGTGGGATAGCTCCAAGGCCTCCCCTGAAAATAGATTTCCTCAGAATTCATCATTATTTTTGCAAAAGTAAATGCTGCTTCAAGAATCACTGTGGAATCAACTTTCCTCTGAATTCTGTGGAAGATACCACTGCATAAGTGATCACTGCAGAAGAGCCTCTGCTGAATCACACTCCGCGGATGTGGACTAATCCTCCTGCAGGGGGAGTACACTGTACCTGGGGAGTACACCTTGCCTGCTACAAAAGGTAAAAATTTAAATGTCACCGACAGAGGGCAGTAGCGTTCGAAAATTTAGTTTCCCCATGTGTTATGTCGCCTCTTAATCGAGTCTCTAAGCTGCACTGAAGGACACACTGTTCGAATTTCGGAGCAATTTTGATTGCCTTTTTGTTTTAATCTTCCTGCTCAATTTTACCTGGCGGCGTCACATTCAATCAGGAGTTCAGTGTGTGCAGTTCCAGAATGTCGGACGTGAAGAAAGAAGAAACTAAGGATAAAGATGCGTCCAAAACCAAGTCAGAACTTGGGTTACTGGACGAAGACGACGAATTTGAAGAATTTCCAGTGGAAGGTTTGTTTTAAATCACCCCTCTCATTAGTAACATCTTGAAGCAATTTTCTATGCATGCGCGCAGAGTGGGGAACAGAAGAAGATGATACGGAGGACTTGAATGTTTGGGAAGATAATTGGGATGACGACCAAGCCGAAGATGATTTTAGCCAACAGCTGAAGTGAGTTAACGGGTCTGAATGGATATCTCTTCTGTGTCAGATAATTCCTGAAAATGATTTTATCCAATAAATGTTTCAGAGCGGAATTGTCGAAAGATCCCAGTAAGATGGAATCCTGATTTTAAGTGTCACGAAGTTGTTCGACTCGCCGTTTTTTTTTTCCTGCGGTGTTATTTACTGCACAATTCTTTGTTCATGTTGTTTCGTCGGTTGGCTCGTTTGGAAAAAAATTTCCTGATGCATTCTTCGTGCTGCCAGTTTTCTGTTCTTCAAACTTGGAAGCGTTGGGAAATCGTCAGTTCGAATTTTCTTCCCTTTTTCTCAGGGAAAGCTGTTTTCTTGGCTTGGTCCTTTGGACCATCTGTGTTTCTTTCATTAGTCCTGGAATAACGGGTTGGTTAGCCGTTTTGTTGAACGATGTCGTCGAAAGACCAATTGTTTAAGTCGGACAATTTGTCCGACGCTTATGACATCAACCAACTGTTCTCAACGAAGACCGTTGCCGAAATTCGGACTGTGAAGCAAAAAATCGTTGATGATGTGGAAAAGAAGAAAGCGGATCTCCGCAACATGGTTGGGTGAGTGCATTGCAAAATTCCTTCAGGAATCTTGCGGCCTCAATTCAAATTACCGACAAGCTCGATCAAATTTTGTTGTGGTTTGACGTTTGTGTATACTTTGATGTCCATATGCTTATCTCTCCGTTAGCGAACGATACCGGGATCTGATCGAAGCCGCGAACACCATCGCATCCATCAAGACTGGTTCGGAAGAAGTAAGGAAGTCCATTGAGAAGATTGAGTCTATTACGTGCGGGATTTCGGGGGAAAGATTTCTGATCGTTGGCGACTCAAAGCTTCGCTGTGATAGCGTTTCTGACGGCAAGTAGGTACAGCATGGTTGACCACCTTGGGATTTTTCGGCGAGGAAGAACAATTTGCGGAAATTCTTCGTATTTGTGCTCCGCAATTCTGATTGCCATCTGAATCATACATAGATGAAAGCGTTAGATTCGCAATCTACTTCGACGGGGTGTAAAGACGCAAAGGTACGTCAACCTGTCGAGGTGTTGGTAGCTTCCAAGATATTTATTTTTAAGCCGTGGACTGATGTTTTCTGGCCACT